GGGCCTTGCAGCCTTGCCGGGGGGGGGGAGCTGGCCCGCCCGGTGCTGAGGAGAGCCGGGCTTGGCTCGGCTCGCCTCGCCTCGGACCTCGCCTCGGCAGCGAATCGGGCTCGCCCGGGTGCGGTTTTTTTTAGTTGTAAACCACAGATTTTTATTTTGCTGAGATTAATGGGCTGAAAAGGGCAGGACCGGCACTCGTCTTCTGGGGATGTGTGGCCCTGCTACCAAAATTAGTGAGGAACTTAATGAGTTAAAAGCCTAGCGAGCTATGCAGCATTAATGTTTTTAGAGTTGTCCCTTTAAAAGCTTATAAAGGTAATACTGAAGACCATGTTGATTTAAAAAAAAAGAAAAAAGTCTTAAGGCAATAAAGCTAAGTTAGAACAGCCCTTCTGGCTCCCAGTGTGAATGTTCTTAGTGTTAAATGAGTATTAAATAACTTAGACTGTTTCAGTCAACTTTGCCTTTAAATGCATTTCAAGTAAACTGTGTGATCATGTTGTTACATTAAATTTCATGTAATACGCATTCTTTGTTACCAGTCCCTACAGCTAGATGGTAATACAACTTGGAATCAATTGTTTGTTTGTTTAATTATTGCCAGCGTTCTGTGGTGTGGATGCATGCCGATGCATTTCAACGTGACCAGGATTAAGATTTTTTTTTTTTTTTTTTTTTTAGATGAGCCAATATGAATTTAAGCAGGGAGTCATTATACAAAGCCATTCTTTGCCAGATACTGGCATGGTTGGTCTGTTTTGTATGGGAACACTATGTCCTCCTTGGTTAGGAATGAGGAAGAAAATTTTCTTGAGGCAAAAAGTTCTGTGTAAAAGTAGTAATTCTGCAGACTTACTCTGCTAGCACAGCTTCTGCAGCTCAGACTAACCTTTACTGTCACAATGTGCATGACTAGTAAGTCAGTTGCTGGTTTTGTTCAAAATAACAACACTTCTTTGGAAAGTGACTTTTTCAACTTATTTTAAACCAGCGGTCTGCTGAAATACCTTGGGGGAGTTTTCTCAAGTTATTCTCTTCCATGCTTAGAGTATTAAAAAAAATCCTCCCTGTCCTCTGGGAGGTGGGTGTGTGTCTTACGTGAAGCGTAGCTAAGACAACGTTTTCAGTGACGGGAGCTGGGTGCCATTCGAAGGACCCGGTGCTCAGCTCTTGGGTTCCCACCCAGCTGGCACCATGCGTGGTGTGGTGCAGACGGAGCGTGCATTTATCAGGGAGCGTGTAGCAAAGTCTGAGCAGTTATTGCGTAAGTGCTTGCCCTTTGCGTTGCGTGGAGTCTGCTTTTGCTGTGCCCTGTGTGCTCTGACCTGCGCCACCGGGCAATGTGATTCCTGACGTCATCCTTGGTGGATATAGTTTGTGTAACAGTTAAATTGAAATTAGTTTTCTCCCTGACCTTCTGAAATGTAGTTTTGTATTTCAGTAGTCCTTGATTATAGCAGACTAGCTTCGTTTAAAAAAAGTAAGGTACTTCTAACTCAGTCGAATACATAGCACCATCTTAATTCAACTAAAAGTTGTTTGAGGATTGTGGTAGAATTTATTTAAACTAGTTAGCTATATTTAAGACTTAGATCTGTGTATTTTAGATACATCAGTCTGATGTGTGTTGTTAGTTTGAATTCTATATTACAGTTGTACTGCAGGTATTAATTCTCCTTAAAATTCAACTTTTCCCCTGTAGTCTGCTGGTCAATAAGCTGATGGTGTTGATTTCTGATTGAATGTTGCCTTTGCATCAGTAATGTATTATAGGCAAACGTTTAAATGCATTTGTTAATTCATATTCTTAATCTTGCATTATTGTTATTTTGTAAAAGGTTATTTTACTAAGTTTTGTAAAGTGTATTGAAGTTCTGACATCCCTTTGGTTAATGATTACCAAATACGTTACAAACTTCTTCCTTAAATAAAGCAGGTACACAATATACAAGGAAGCTTATAAAACCCATGTTTTTATTAACACTGTCTTTTTAAATTTCATTTTTTTTATCTAGTTAATGAATTCAGCAACAACACTTGCTCTTGTTACCATGTCAGACATAATTAAAAAAACTATGCTCTTTGTCCAAGCAAGAGACTGGTATTGGCAAGTGTTGATCTGGCTTTTCAAATATGCTGGCTTCTGCTGTGTGGCCAGTAACACTCTCAAATTCAGTAGCTTTATTTTTCTTATGCAGGAAGAGGCTACTGGCTTACTTCTTAAAAGTAAAGCCACCTAAAAATTATGGCAGTTAGTAGTTTGGCAAAACTTATATAACACTGAAATGTATTTAAATTTTATGTCACAAGATTATACAGTCTTAAAATGTCAGTTATTTTGAGGAGTTTGAAGTGTAAGACTGAAGCAGGGCTACAGAAAACTTTCTCTTTGGTAGTCTTATTTATAATATAAATAATGGGTTGAGGTGGATAATATTATGAAAATTTGTGCTGAGCGTCATTAAACTTGAGACAGCGCTTAAAATGTTGGCATGCGCCTGGTCTAACGCAGAATTTCTTCGTTAATCACCAGCAGAGCTCAACTGATGGTGTTCCTGTTAAGGAAATCTTGGACTAGAAATTGAGTAAAATTGGTATGTTCGAATGGAGAGGTGGCCAAACCTCGTGCCATCCAGCCGTGTCCCAGATCTTTACGTGGCCGAGGAGCACTGCGTGCCTCGGAGTGGGGGTGTGCGAGAGGAGCGTACGGATGCGGCGGCAGTGATTCCGTGGGGCTCCGGGATCACTGCGGGAGGGAACTGAGCTTTATGTAGCCGGGTCCTCTGTTGGCTCGGGCTCTCGGGGGCGGCACTAGTTGCGCGACAGAGCTGCGCTCGGACTGCTGGCAAACTCGTGTAGCTCAGGCAATGAATTGGCCCCGTACAGTTGTAATATCGGAAGGCATCGTAAGCTGTGTCTGCCCTATGTTTGCATTGCGGTGTTTGCCACTCAGGCATCAGCTGTTTTGGTCAGGTGTGTTACAAGGTGTGATTTGATGAGCTTGTGAACATTCACATTTGCAAAAGTTGTCTGTGTTAACAAGCTTAACCAGGTGTTACCTTGCATCCCTTCTTGAATCGCTTTGTTATTGTATACGCAAATAAAGCGTATGAAGTGTAACTATAGCTTCCTGTCCACCTACGGTACTCTTACCTCTGGCTGGATCCGAAGTGCTATGCAAATTTGTTATCACACTTCAGCAAATGCATGAGAAGTTCCACTCTATTTATAATGAACTACCTCTCAGTATTTCAGAATTAATAACAAAATCCCACAACTGTTGGGTGTTCTTCCATTTTCCTCTT